GTGCCGAGAGCAGAAATTCTGAATGAAGCCCTTATTGCTGACCTCTTCTCGGTAAAAAATGTTGTTACACTAAGAAACGCGGATGGAAGGAAGCATTGCAAATATCATCAGAACCGGGGACATACTACTCAAGAGTGTGTAACACTAAAAGATGACCTCGAGAAGCTTATCTGAAAGGGTCATCTCCGTAAGTATGTAAAGACGGATCGATCGCGTATAAGAAGCTCATCAAGGTCTCCACAAAGAAATACCGAACGACCGCATAGAAAGAAGGAGCAGAATCATAGGCGGGGTCGCAGCTGCAGCCGCAGCCATAGCTCTGACCGCACAATCCTGAGGCGTATCCACTAGAAGATATGATGAAAAGTCCTTCCTAACACTAGGAATGCGACTCATCTCAAGTTTACACTAATTGAATTTTGATGTCATGTTTTATTTCAATTAAACTATTTTGACAAGACTTACGTGTTTACACTTTTAGTATGAATAAAGCCAGAAAGTTCCTTTCAATCACATATGTTCAGTCGTTCGGCCTCATTAGTATTCAGCCGTTCGACTTCACAGTACAAGTGACAGGACCATGCAGACCACTCGTCCAAGAGGAGAGCAAGAACCGAACGGTGATAGAAGTTGTCAACGAACTGTCACTCTCGTAAACAAACCTATGGACGTTATCCGAAAAACACCTGGTTCAAACCAAGTGGTGATAAGAGTTCTCAACGAACTGTCACACTCATAAACAAAACCGAGGGACGTTATCTGAAAAACACCTGGTCCAAACCGAGCGGTGATACGAGTTCTCAACGAACTGTCACACTCGTAAACAAAACCGAGGGACGTTATTTGAAAAATACCTCGTCCAAACCGAGCGGTGATAAAAGTTCTCAACGAACTGTTACACTCGTAAACAAAACCCAGGGACGTTATCTGAAAAACACCTGGTCCAAACCGAGCGGTGATAAAAGTTCTCAATGAACTATCACTCTCGTAAACAAACCCAGGGACGTTATCTGAAAAACACCTGGTTCAAATCGAGCGGTGATAGAAGTTCTCAACGAACTGTCATTCTCGTAAACAAAACCCAGGGACGTTATCTGAAAAACACCTGATCCAAACCGAGCGGTGATAAAAGTTCTCAACGAACTGTCACACTCGTAAACAAAACCAGGGACGTTATTTGAAAAACACCTGGTCCAAACCGAGCGGTGGGGAACGCTCTAAGTGAACGCTCACTCTCGTCCTAAACCGAGCGGTGGGGAACATTCTAAGTGAGCGCTCGCTCTCGTCCTAAACCGAGTGGTGGGAAACGTTCTAAGTGAACGTTCACTCTCGTCCCAAATCGAGTGGTGGGGAACGTTCTAAGTGAACGCTCGCTCTTGTCCTAAACCGAGCGGTGGGGAACGTTTTAAGTGAACGCTGACGCTCGTCCTAAACCGAGCGGTGGGGAACTTCTAAGTGAACGCTCACGCTCGTCCTAAACCGAGCGGTGGGGAACGTTCTAAGTGAACGCTCACTCTCGTCCTAAACCGAGCAGTGGGGAACGTTCTCAGTGAACATTCACTCTCATCCACAGGTGTTCGGCCACTTGGCTTCAGGTATTAAGCCATTCGGCCTACACTTCTCGACCTTCCATGGCCTCAGGTACTAAGTTCATTTGACATCCACTGCTTAAACCGTCCGACCCAAAGAAGGAACAACAACTGAAGGCATGTTTTCCAGTACAGTAAATACAACCTCTCTCAAACTCATAAGTCCTATAGTTAATCAAGGCTAAAGCTGAACGATTACACTCAGACTTAGGGCGCATAATGTATCGTATATAATGTGGACCGAGCGGTCATGGAATAAGGCCGATCAGTCTATCCGTTGTTTGGTCCATCCACTTAGGACCGATCGGTCTATCTACTGTAGCAGCACTCGTCAACTCTATTATAGCAGTGATCGTCAAAAAACCAGGTTAAATGATGTTGGGCCACAGCGCTCGTCAACCAGGTCAAACCAAGTTAAAAGGTGTTGGACCACAAGTGGGCCAACATTTAAGTTATTGGACTAATAATTCAGCAGAGGATAAAATAATCAAGGATATCTGATTAAAGATATTCATAAAACTGTTTATGAGTAACCAACTGAATCTTCAGGTAAGTTTGTTATTATTTCGTGTATGAGCAAGCAACCAACCGACTCAAACTGACGTGACCGAACGACCCAGACGGAAATCAACCGAATGGCTCCGATAAAAGAAAGGCAAGCAACTCAGGCGATCCTAGCTTTCGAAAGGAAGGAAGACGCATAAGAACAGGTTAGTCTCTCGGTCCCGTAAAAATCTACTGAAACAGTAAAAATTATTAGTTAATGTTAACTAGTAAAAAAAAGTAGAATCTATGATGATTTATTATGACAAGTGTAGTTCACCTATCATAGTAAGTTGACCGGTGACATAACAATTATATTAAAATTGTCTAATAGCATACACAAGGATGAAAGTTTATCAAGCCTTCAAAATAATGGATTACATTGAGAAAGTAAAATATATGGTTTTGTACTTGATAAGATGCATCTTTTGTGGTTGTAGATGGACAAAATGACGATGCTTAATGAAATTATGGATTATGTCAACTTCCTAAGGCTTCAGGTTAAGGTGTGGAAGCTCTTAAAGAATTGTATTCCAATAAAACTTTCTTCATTTCCATCAATGACTTAATCTATATTCAAAATTTCTTCATGTGGAAAAGTTAACTTGAATTTCTTTTCAATTCAATCTTAGGCACAATGTAGAGCTTTACTTGACTTTATTTTTGAGAAACTTATTTCAAATTATTGACTCTCCATACTAGTAGTGTACCTGTTAGGCTTAATACAAAATATTGTGAAACATTCATACTCGTCTATGAGGAGTGTGTGTGCATGGTTGTAATTATTTGTATTTAATTTTCAATGACGACGTAAATTGGGAAACTATAAGTGTGAGTATTACGTCATGAATACATGCACATGATTATATGTACAAACATTACTTAATTATGGAATAAGGTAAGAAAAATTATTAAATACTTATCTAATTGTGAATTACAATATTGTTTAACTTCATTGTGTTTTTATGTAAATATTTAATGATTCATTTCTATTATAAGGTAGAGAGATAGAAGAAATAAGAACCAAATGGACTTTTTTTTAATGTTAGTGATAACTTATAGAAATATATCAGGTTTATAGTACTTTCGAATATTTTGGAGAGTATTTGAAACAATTATAAAGGTTGTACATTTATGTATATATAATGGAATGTTTTAAAGTTTATTGGATAATTTAATATATGAACTTATTTGCTTGGGAATTATTTAGTCTAATAATATAACTGTCAAGTTATACTTGTCATAATATATCAACTTACTATGACAAATCTCTAAATACATGTCATGGTAAGTCAACTTACTATGACATATCATAAAAACGTGTCATAATAAGTTTTTGTGAAATCATATAATAAAAAATTTTATATGATTCTCGTAATTATGAATTAGAATATTTGTCACAAAAAGTCCATTTTATCTATTATGAAAAAATCTCATGTACAATAATGAGTTTTTCTTTCATTTATTTATTTGTGGTATTGAATACATGACATGAAAATAAATTTTTTAATTATTATAAGAACACAAGGTGATATGGAGAATATACAAATGTCTAGATTATATGAAAGGTGAGTGAGTTTCCCTCCCATAAAATACATGCCACCAAAAAATGGTTTATGTTTTCTTTGGTGAATATATATGGATATTTAGATGACTAGTTTTTACTTAAATGGTAAGAATTTATATAATTGTAAGAATCTAATCTCTAATATTATTAAATTATTCTTTTCAATATTTTATGCATTATTTGTATTTTTCTATATATTTATATATAATATTTATTTTATTTTGAAAAAAAAATAGATCTAAATTTAAAATTAAGTTTATATAAAAACTATTTTTTATTAGAAAATTATAAATATAGAAATTTAATTTAAATTGATTTTATGAAAAAATAAATTTAGATTTAAAACTTAATATAAATATTTGAATTTGAATCTATAAAAATATAAATTGATTTTGCAAATAAAATAATTTGAATTCAAATATTTGAATCTAAATTTGAATTAGATTTTCTAAAATCGAATCAATGACCACCTAAAGACCTTCCCTTTTAATTATTAAACTATTACTTCCTTTTGATAATTGCTAAATTCGTCCTTTATTAGTAAAATGACGATTTTATTCTTGAAAAGGTTACTTCTCAATTACTTTGGAATTTCTACGACATGATAACAAATTTTTTGAAACAATCTTTTTAGCATAAGTTTTCTACAACATATGAAGTATATCAAATGGATATGATTTTATGTAGGTTAAACAAAAAATAATTATTTAGCCATTTATTTTTTAATTTCTTCTGTTCAAATAGTTTATTCTCCAATTGCTAAAGATAATGAAGTTTGTTTTGGATTTAATCAATAATTAATATTGTAATAATACGTGGTAAAATTTTCAATAACCATATTTTTTACCTATACTTATATTTATAGTTTTTATTTATGAAGTTTTAATTATGGTAAGTCTAATCACAGTTTAATTTCGACACATATAATATATATTTAATTAAAATATAAATTAAATTATTCAATAAAACTAAAAATAATAAAATGTATTGTAAAATAAGACTAAAGGGTTGAGAACAAACCATCACTTAAAATTATTTGATTTTAAATATGTTATTGACTTAAATTAAAATATACCTAATTAATCAATAAAATAAAATAAAATAAAATATAAGCAAAATGACTAATTTCACCGATGTTGTATTATTAAATTATTTTTCATACAAATTATATTGGTTACATTAATTTTATTAATTAAAGTTGGTTTTTTATATATTTGAAAATCAATATTTGATTTTTCCGGTGATGACCGGAGTAATTTAATTAGATAGGTCAGGAAAATGAAATTTAATCTCTCTATCATTCTCTATATGTTGCCATAACCTAATCGAAATAATCCCTCTGCCCTCTTCCTAATTTTCCCCTTACCAAGTAGAAACTAATGTGTGCAAGTATCCGAAGCCAACACCCTAAAAGCACATCCTTTTCCTAGCAAAACGACTGCGCTTCGGTCGTCGTCTCCACCGAGGCATGTTATTCGTTCACTGCCTCTACTCTTCAGATATCACTCACCATCGTACTTGCATCCAATAGAGACGTTGACTTCGTGCTTGTTCTGGAAGTGGAACAAATGGACCAAGTCCTTCTTGACGACATAATCAATCGCCTTCTCGAAGTTCGTGGCCGACCGGGGAAGCAGGTGCAGCTGTCGGAGTCCGAGATCCGCCAGCTCTGTACCGCTTCCAGAGATATTTTCTTGCAACAACCTAATTTATTGGAGCTCGAAGCACCGATTAAGATTTGCGGTAATTTCTTTCCTCTTCTCTTCCAACTTGCTGTTGTCCTTTGTTCCTTTTTTGACCCCTGCATCACCCTCCCGAAACCGCGCCGTGCATAGGAATACCTGTACTAGAACACCGCATCTGGCTTGGTCAACTGCGAGGGTTTTTTTTTGCGCTTTTGTTATGATCCAAGTGCTTCGAGTCTGTTTTAATTCCTTGCCATCTGATTTTGTGTCTGGGGTTTAAGAAGTTAGTTTAGTTTACTTTTCTGCTGTGTTGGGTTGCAAATTCGTTGCATTCGTCATTATGTTTTTTTCTTGCGTTGTGCTAGCTTATTGGGAATTGTTGTGTTATAGAGGGGATTAGTGATGAAATGTGTAGAAGAAAAATTTGGTCAATGTTTTCCCGGAGTGGTCCAGGTGTTGATGTTGATGATGTATCTATTATTAAGTTGTGTGTTTCGTCCAATGTTAGTACTGATAAACTATGAAGGGACATGTAGTGTCAGCTTATGTGTAGTGGAAAAAGAAATAGTTGTAGCTTCGTACATAATAGCTAAAGTTGCTGAGGCAAACAGTTGTCGGCTTTTGACCTGGGTGAAATCCATTGATTATTGCACTTAAGTCCTCCTTGACCAAATGCAGTTGTTGTCTTGTGTTCTCATTCCTGTTAAAAGTTGAGGTATTGTTGGCTTATCTTCTTTTCATTCTTTTTCTGTTTAAATGAAAATGATCAAATAATTTAATCCTTGTTTACGTACCCCTATTAAGTCTTATCGGATCAAGATCTGTGTGTTATCCCTAAGATAGTTCTTTGCTCAGCCATTACTATGGGATAATGGTTGGTGATTGATGCTACTAGGGTGTATCTTGCACGAAAATAAACCCAAACCTTAAACTCATCTTTTATATGCTCAAATAGCTTACTACCTTAAAAGAGTTGTGCTGTTTTGTTTTAACATAATATTGGAAACAAAGACAGTATCAGCTATGCTCAAAACTATAATTAACCTACGAAACTGTTTTACACTTAAAGGTCGGGCAGAGAAAGAGTAATGCTACTGTGTGATAGGGAAGCATGTATTATTGAGTGCAAAAGTTTCATATTGAGTAGTATGGGATGTTTGATGGAGTATTTAAGTGTTTTATTTTCTCCCCTTATTGCTAGTATTTGTATTTGAGGGTGAGTTCTCTAAGTGCCTATCATTTGATATCGAAGTCTGGTTCTTGGTGTCTTGAAAATGGCTACCTATGGAGGGTTTTGACCAACAAGGGAGTTGAGTGATGTGTCACCGAGTGTAGTGTCATAGAGTGAAAGTTATGATAGAGACTTGGGTATTACGAGGTCCCTAAGCCCCGTATCTTAATTGATTTCTTTGAGATCCATTTCTTGTCTAACAAGGTCACCTTCCACCTTTAAGATCAATACTTGCATATTCTTGCTGCCATACAAATGCCCTGATTCATACTTTTCATCTATGTTAGAATATTTACCTATTTATCATTATTATATTATGTCTAGGGTTGCCCTATTTATCATGATTATATTGTCTAGAGTTACCCTATTTATCATGATTATATTGTCTAGGGTTACCCTATTTATTATGATTATATTGTGTCTAGGTTACCCTATTTATCATGATTATATTGTGTATAGGTTACTCTATTTATCATGATTATATTGTGTCTAAGGTTACCCTAATCAAGCTCTCTAAAATTATTTTACAATTTAATTCTCAAGTTGGTATCAGAGCAGGTTGTCTGAGTCTCTTCCTACTCTGTCTTTGTTGTCGCTGGTGGCCTGTGGCTGCCGCCACCGACGACCTTAAAAATTTCATCTTTTCTGAAATACCTCAATGAGCAGTCTCGTTCTGATTTCTGTCTAGTCTCCAAATCTTAGTTGTTGTCTGCAACTGTCTAGCACTATTTGTCGTTGTCTAGTGCCATTTGTCGTTGTCCACCTAGCATTGTTTTGCCACTGTGAGGAGCTGTCCACAGAAGTTTGTCACCATCAATCTCTGTTCTCGGCGCCATTCGCCACTGTCCGCCGCTTTCGTTGTTTGCCACCGTCTGTCGATGTCCGCTGCCGCCCACCGTTCGTCGTTGTCCCTAACGACCATCGTCAGCTGCTGTCTGCTGCCAACCACCATCTACTGTCGTCGTTGCCATCTGCTGCCACAGTTTAGTCCGACGACTAATGGATCTAGATCGCCTCCTTGAGCGAGAGGGCTAGTTCTCATCTAGGCGCCGCCACGCGCGCTACATCTGTCCGACGTCCGCCTTCGCCGTCATCACATTTTCTCTGGCAAAGTTAGGGGTTTTGTGTGCCTCGAGGAGCACGACCCATCCCTAGTCGTTGCCTCATTCTCATCCACACGCGCTGTCACGCACGACTTCTCTCCGATAAGCTTCCAGGGCGTGTTTGTCACATGCCACCTTCCTTCCTGGTGTCAGAATCACACCGCGCCACTGTCGTTCGTCTCGCTCGACCAAATAAAAAAATAAAATAAAACTCTCTATTTCAACATTTTACCTTTGTTTAGCCTCCTTTCATAATATTTGTTTAGCTTCGCATATTGTAGCAACTGTGATGTTCTTGATGACTTGTGTCATTTATTTAAAAGTCTCTAAGGAGAGTCGGTGTTATCAACTGGTTAACACCAAGGAATTTCAACACTAAAGTCATGGGTTGAAGGTTGCTCATGACATGAGGGGAGTCTATTTCTTGCAAGATTAAGGGTCCTTGTCAAATAATTTCCCTTGTCATATGTGTTTTTGGATGCTTTGATGAATTATGGAGACCATTATGATCTTCCACCTTCACGATTTGTCATCGGTGTGTCATCATTTCGGTCGTTTGCCGTGAGGGGAGTATGTTTCAGCCACTACAGGCCCCATCAATCAATGATGGCAATTTAGTCCCTGTAGTTTGTCACTTTCAACTACTGCAGGCCCCCATCAGTCAATAATGGCAGTTTAGTCCCTGTAGTATGTTTCAGTCACTACAGGCCCCATCAATCGATGATGTCAATTTAGTCCCTGTAGTTTGTCACTTTCAACCATTGCAGGCCCCATCAGTCAATAATGGAATCCAATCTCTACCGTTTGTCGCTTTTAGCCATGCAGACCCATCCTTATTTGATGGAAATTCAGTCTTTGTAGTTTGTCGATGTCTACCACTCGTCATCCACTTTTGATGGAAATCAACCTTGTCAAAGTCATCCTACTTGAAGGTTCATGGTGCTAGATGAAGTTTCGTGGTTGTCCAATATTATTCTCCATAAGCTTATGAAGAGTCTCTTTGGTTACGCTGGTTTGTGAGTCCAATTTGGTTTATAGACATTCTCTCTTGATGATATGAAGCATATGTGCATCTTCTTCGAAGCCAAAGTTACCACGTCTATTGTCTTGACATTTTAGACAAGTTGATTTTGTTAGATTGAGTTTATTTATTCCAAGCTTGGCACATACAATCTGTATGCTCCAACTTGAAAGGGAGTGTTAGAATATTTACCTATTTATCATTATTATATTATGTCTAGGGTTACCCTATTTATCATGATTATATTGTGTCTAGATTACCCTGTTTATTATGATTATATTGTGTCTAGATTACCTGTTTATCATGATTATATTGTGTCTAGGTTATCCTATTTATCATGATTATATTGTGTTTAGGTTACCCTATTTATCATGATTATATTGTGTCTAAGTCTTTATCAATTTATTTTTATAAATAGAAGATTATGAGAGGGATCAAGCCCTTTAAAATTATTTTAGAATTTAATTCTCAAGTCATCACATCTAAAAACAGCCCCTTCTTCTCATTTATTGCATTTTAGCATTGAACTTTATTTTAAATCCTATGCTCTTGAAAGTACTTGTGGTTTTTAGGCTACTAGAATCACTTTCCGAGTATGTGTTCTTACTTTTTATTGTATGCTGCCTCTTGCTTTCTATCTCCCAAGTCATCATTCTTGTTTGTGAAGCACCGTAGGTGGAAAAAGCCTGTGTATCTGCGTAGGATTTATTTGACACAGATTCGTTTGGATACATTTAAAATTTAAAATACATATCAGTGAAGTGTCAGTCAGCAGGTAAAAATGATAAGAAAATGTGCTTCAGAAAGGTGTTGCAAAGCTAACACTATTGCTTTATGGGTGTGAGCTAATTATAATCCTGTTTTATAAATTTGTATTGTCCTTTGAGTAAGACTTTATTACCCATGTTGTATAAGACAACACATCCCAAGACTCTACCCAATTTTCCTAAACTAGCCTCAGCTGTAACATTCAATTAATATATATATATATATATATATATATATATATATATGTATATATAACAGTGACATTTTTTTTCTTTTTAGTGTTTAACCATCCTTATGTTAATTTTTTATATTATTCCAAACATTAAACAAACATAAAATATATAATTTTTATGATTTATTCCATGAAACTATTTTCCGGCTTTGATATTTGAGTACTACATAATTAAAAAACAAAACACTGATAACAAATGTAGATAGAAACAATTCTCACTATTTATATAAACATTTAGATAATATTGAATAATAATTTTCAATTTTAATATGTTTTTTTAAGAGTTATAATAATATTTATTTTATTTTGTGAGCTATATATATGCATAGAGTTTTAAACGTATTGTGTCCTATATTTAAGGATGAGACGAATCGCCGAATCAAATATGTGTCATGTTGTATCTGATACTTGTATTGTGTATTTGTACATCATAGATTCTTGTACATGAGTAGCTCTAACTATAACCCATTCCCTTATTACTCTAAGGAACCCTTTGACCGAAAAGTAATTTTCTCTCAAATTTGTTGTCCATATCCCTCATCTATTTGGGTAAATCCTTCGATGGATGCAACTTCAATTCAGCCCATATCAAATCATTTAGCCCATTCAAGTTAATCTCCATAAGATACTTGGGGTCTACTCCCTGGAATGGCCCATCATACAGTTCAAATGGCTCCCTTTAATGCTCCACTGAATTGGTTTTCTTGAGGCTTACCAAGAACTCATGCGTTTTGGGTCATGGATGGTTGAAATTGCTCAGTGAGTGTTGTATGAAAATCCTTCCACGTGGGTTCTAGAGTACAAAACTCATGCCATTGGTACTGTTCCAACACCTTATGATCCACTGTGACCATAGCGGCTTGAAGTTTTTCTGTATCAGATACCAATAAATCAAAATATTTCTCAATGTTGCTGTTCAATCATAAGTCTTTGCCTAAAAATATGAGAATCTCAAGCTTGCACTATTTATCCCTTCTGTGAATCAAACCCTCAAATTGACCTTCATTGCTGGTGTTAGTCGTATTAGTGCTGTGTGATGACCTCTTCTCTTCAATTTTTGCTTGAGGCTTTTTAGCATTTCCTCTAAATTGCATATAACTTGTTGCTCTTTTCTTCCTGAAGAACACACCTCATTTCTTGTTTGTTTTCCTCACGAGCCTTCACAAAATTCTCATATCTACACTCCAAAAAATCCAGTCTTGCCTCCATCCTTTGAGTATGAACCATGAAATGCTCCTGGGATTGATAGCTCAGATACCCATTGATAGAATTGATTATATCTATTCAAATATTGTTTTAAAGATAGCGAATTTATTGATGATTTACAGGGAAATGTTCCCAAACAGAGATGAAAGAACAAAGAGATAAAAACACAAGAAGAAAGAGTGAGATCACTTGGAGTTGAAGAGCCTAGCCTCTCCCAACCACTTACCCACTGATTAAATGTCCCTCCTTTCATTTTATTTTCCTAATCACTAGTTGCATGGAGTCTATCACCCACAATTAGATTTTTAAGTTATTTATCTGATGTCTAACACAGAATTAGTTATATCATATGGGAATGAAGCTTTTTAAGCCACGGCATAGATAGAAGATGTGTTTCTAATTAGAATAACATAATTGACCTCTGCTGCTATATAATTCTTTCTCAGATCCCGAAGGTCCTGATTCAGTCATATAGGTCTAGTCAAGTTTATTGTTGTATCTAAGTTGAATTGTTGAGCTAAATTGAATTTGTAAACTGAGTTTCCGAATCGGGTTGTTCAGATTTTGATATGTAAGGAAAATTTTTCTATGATTTGTAGTGTTGTTTGCCCCAACTTTTGTTTTATTTTTTTCATCTCCTTTAAAGAAACCGAGTCAAACAGAAATTTTAAGACAAGGAGCTCTTAAAAAGTAGCCTTTTTAAGAGTTAAATAAGTTTTTGGTGCTTCCAAAAGTTTCCCATATTAAACTTGGTACTATTTTAGGGTTTTTGGCATTCATCATTTAATAAATATGTTAATTTGGTCCTGAAATTAGCTAGTAATTTTTTAGGGTTAAACAAGTTTTAGGTGTTTCTAAAATTTGCCCGTATTGAAATTGATAGTTCCAAAAATTCTTCAGTGTTTTTGATATCCTACATTTAATAAATATGCTAATTTGATTCTAACAGTTACTCTAGTACTTTTGAATTAATAGTGTTGCATGTAATCATCTTAGTAAGATATTTTATTCGCATGTGGCAGTGTCAAATTAGCATGTCAACATTATTAATTAAAAAATTTACATAGTTATTGAATGTTGGATGTTTTTTCTTTGTTAGTACCAATTTTACTGAGTCAATTTGGAGTCACCAAAAAACTCGTTTAACCCTTTTTTCAAATAGAACTTTGAAAAAATAAGCTTTTAAAGTAGTTAAAAAACTTTTACATCTCCATTAGTCGATCATTTTTTCACACATAATTTATTTCTCTTGTACAAGAGATATTAATTTGTTACATCAGAACATCTGTATGTATCATTTATGCTTAGCCAGTTAAGCCAGGGCCGTTAAATTCTAAGTATAAAACAATATTAGATATCCGATCTCAAATAGAGCTTCAGCAAAAGTTCTGTATGGTTGTACTTTGTAAAGGACCACATGAATCAAGAACATCTGTTCGATGAATACCATTCACTAACATATTCCTAGACATGAATAATAGGGTAAAATCAAACAGAAAAAGCTATTTTGTTTGCAGTCGTGAAACTCCCCTTCAAAGTGGTATAGATATCCAGTATCCATGTATAACCAATTAATGTGGCATTAGTGATTGAGGACTTTGTATTCAATTATTTGTGGACTCTAATAATAGTTCTGCTTGAAGCAGTTATTTGAAACAAAAGAACTTTGACAAAGATATCCAGTATTCATGTAAAATAAGTTACTTAGCATTGGTGAAAGAAGAATTGATATCTCTGAGTTCAAATAATAATTCTGCTTGAAGCAATTATTTGAAAAGACGAAATTTAACCAGTGTCAAATAGGGCTTGGCAATATCAATTGTTCCCTTTTTGGCTTGACATTGTCTGGTATACAAATCTGCAAAGATCTTGGTTTCGGTATACATGATCTATTTATAACTTTCCTTTAGTATTGTAATTGCCACATAGTACTTTATTATGGTTTACATAAAAAAAAAAGGTGTGATGATTTCTTATTACCCTTTTTTTGATCTCTCAGGTGATGTACACGGTCAATATTCTGATCTTTTAAGGCTTTTTGAGTATGGTGGATTACCTCCTGAGGCTAACTACTTATTTTTGGGGGATTATGTGGATCGAGGGAAGCAGAGTTTGGAAACAATATGCCTTCTCCTAGCTTATAAAATAAAATATCCTGAGAACTTTTTTCTTTTGAGGGGTAACCATGAATGTGCATCTATTAACCGTATATATGGATTTTATGACGAGTGTAAAAGAAGGTTCAATGTAAGGTTATGGAAGACATTTACCGAATGCTTCAATTGCCTGCCTGTGGCAGCACTCATTGATGAAAAGATATTGTGCATGCATGGGGGCCTTTCTCCTGATTTACATAATTTGGATCAAATTAGAAATCTACTACGGCCCACTGATGTGCCTGATACAGGTTTGCTTTGTGATCTCCTCTGGTCAGATCCAAGCAAAGAGGTTCAAGGTTGGGGAATGAATGATAGGGGAGTTTCATATACATTTGGTGCTGATAAGGTCTCGGAGTTTCTTCAGAAACATGATTTGGATCTTATTTGTCGTGCTCATCAGGTTAAACTTCTGCCTTAAGTGTTCAATGTATTATCGCAAGTCTTCAAAGGGTTGAGTTTGTATCTCCATTTTTGACTAAAAGTATTGTGAGACTTTTCCAGCAATGTTTATCTATCTATCAGAATTATTACACTTGCTTTACTTCATACAATCTTGGAACTACTATTTTCCATATAATTTCTTACACAGGTTATTCATTGAGGCTAAACTTCTTCTCCCTTTCACATGCCATTCATTAGCTTCATTTTTACATTTCTGCATTTAGATTGAAGGATAGTATCCATCAAGAAGACGTGCTACTAAATTTAAATTGGATTGATGTCTTGAGTTTTGACCAGGTGGTGGAGGATGGGTATGAGTTCTTTGCTAACCGACAGCTTGTAACAATATTTTCGGCACCTAATTATTGTGGGGAGTTTGACAATGCTGGTGCTATGATGAGTGTTGATGAGACACTGATGTGCTCTTTCCAAATATTGAAGCCAGCTGATAAAAAAGCAAAGCTCAACAGTACTACCACTACTAAGCCAGGAAACTCCCCAGCAGGTGTAAAGGTACGATGATATTTTAATATCTACTGATGCAATACGTACACGAAATCCAGTGGTATATATTTTATGGCATGTGTAGGGAATATATGTGGATATTTGTTATTTTTAACTTTTACAGTGAATTAGCAATTTCGTGTAAGCAGATTTTTTTTATTTGTCTCAGACTTGGTTTGTGAATCTTTTGCAGAGATTCACAAATAAGATCCTCGTATTAATTGCTAAAATCTGCTTTGCTTCTTGTTTTGTCTTCTATTCTTGAAATAGCTGTTTGTCATGATTACAAAGAGTTAGAGGGAATGTGTATTTTTTGTTGGAGCAGAACTTCGCTGTGTTCTTTTTTCTAATAAATGTTTGTCCTAGTGTACACTTTTGGTAGTGTGGGATTACATAGTTTTAAACCATTCAAGTGAAATTTAAGATTGTTGAACTTGGAATGTTCTGATTATGTGATAATCATCCTAGGAAATATTTGGGAGATTGAATTTACTTTAACAATGGACATAGAATGCAGCTTTTCAATTGAAACATCAGTAGTGTCAATTTTTGCACCGTGTTGTTCACGATCGATGCATGCTACCAATATTTTCTAAATTGCTCTTGTTGTTGCCTTTCAGTCTTTCATGGGTACAAGAGTATGAAGTTAATTTTGGTGAAATTGCTGCCGCAACTGGTCAGCTTGAACTTGAAGACGTATTAGTTGCAAGGAAAGAAAATAGTTCCATTTGGTATCATATGATATTTTGGAAATGTAAAAACAAAAGGAAACACATTATGAAACTATGTAAACCGTTGTTTTTCTCTGGTACAAATTTGCATTTTGAGGTGGACAGCCATAATTTCCCCCTTGTTTCTTTTGTACACTAATAGCCTCTATATGTCGTGGAGTTGTAAGGTTCTCAAGAATTGATGATACATCTAAATGTGTTCTGGAAACTAATTAAAAATGTTTACAGTTGGTGTATGAATGACGTTGAACCGCTAAAAATGGTCTCGTTAATTTTTGGGTGCCATTTTCACATTGGTGGAAATCCTGTTAATGCTGAATCTCTCGAGTTTTTTCTTGATGAATACATCTCTGAAACAGTGAAACCATGTTGAATTACTATACGCGACCCATTGGTTTGTTATAGTGTATTGCTATAGCAACTCTATTTCATAGGAAAATCAAGTAAATTTTAACGTAGTTTGTTTAGCCTGTGCAGGTATTTTATGATAATCCTGGCTAAAAGATTGCATGTTAAGTGAATAATCCCATGATAATGGCATCTAGTGTAATGGATAAGACTTTTTTTTAACGTTTTCTACGTGGTAAAAAGTAAAAAAATATTAATCCATCTTTATTTTCTTAACAATATATAAATGAGAAAAAACATGAAAGAAAACGTGACCAAGGAATCAGTCCTGACTATAAATTGAACTATTAACGATATATGTTTAACGAAGTAGGGGGGATTTTTTCTGCTTCCATATTCTGAACCTTGATTAGATAATGATAAGATCTTTAAGGAATACGAACCACTTTTAATTATCGATATAGAGAAATTCTGAAGCATTTAAAGGTCGTACAATCGAACATTTGAAAATAAAAAAAGGAATTTTCAGATGTATTAATTTTTAAAATTTTAAATTCAGCTTCAAAAAATAGTTTCTGAAAAAAAAATGCAAAGAAACTATATATCAATAAACGGGCCATTTCTTCCTGGATTGTCCCATCAAAAATGGACTCCGAGATCCGGTAATTTATACCGAACTGAACAATCCGGACGTGTGTTGCTTCCTCCACCACCACTCTATACTTTCTCCACCTCCCCACATTATTTTAAATATAATTATATCCTTTAAGTTAAAAAGATTTTTATTTTTACCCTATTTTAAATAATTTGAAACCCTAATTTTACTTTCCCAGTACCCACCAACGGAACTCTCTTCCCCTTCCCCATTTTCGTTTCACCTCCCTACCTCCCGCACTCCATTCCTTTTTCTTCCCAGTTTCTTTTTTTGGTTTGAAAGCTTCCATGGCCGCCGTGGTGTGAAGGAGCGTCGCCGCCGTGGTGTGGAGGAACATCGAGGAGCGTCCAAAGCATAAACCAGCGTGAGGAAGTATACATCAACGGAGGTGACATCCTTCAACAAATGTCCTCTAATAAAACAAACTCTAAAATAAAAAACGTAACCTCGGAGGTGACATCTTCAACGGATGTTGACATCCGTTTTTCCTTAAACGAATGTCGACATCCGTTTTTCCTTAAACGGATGTTGACATCCGATTTTCCTTAAACGGATGTTGACATCCTTAAACGGATGTCACCTCCGTTGAAGGATGTCACCCCTGTTGAAGGATGTCTGTTAACTTTTTGGCAAGTATACCAAATCGTTACAAGTAATACAGTGATAAATAAAGTATCGTTCTACTCAGGGAATTTGTGTTACGTTATTCAATTAAAATTTATTTATCAAAATCAATTTGAACAACAAAATATAAGTGAATTAATAATCTCAAACTAGATGACAATTTAAAATTGAAATTAAAATTTAAAGAAAGCTTCATTGGAATTGACTTCATGACCACATTACAGTAACTATTCTGAGCAATATAACTTGCGTTCAAACATCAACATCACAGTATCTTGGTTTAATTCCTTAAAACAAGTTATAAAGAATTATGTTCAATTATTAATTCCTTAAGTAATTAAACATAAACTTTGCATTAAGAACGATGTTATTGATGACAAGGAGAATTGAAACTATTCCTAGCCTCTTTCCTTCTGGTTGCTTTTCTTGCGTT